GTGTAGCCAGTCCTAGGGGGTGGGGGGGGTGAGGGCAGTCGTGAAAAGCTGGAATGTTCGAGTTCACACTAGTTCGCCGAGAAGCTGCATCATGATGCCCCCTAACTGGAATAGACCCTTTTTTAATTTCACTTTTCCAACCAAATAGCCTCTCGCAGAGGTGTTTTTGATGGTTTTGGAGTCCTCCATAGGATAAACTCCTTCCCAACGAACAGGAAATGTAATTAAACAAAGGGCCGGAAACCTCCATCACCGAGGCGGTGACCTCTAACGAAATCCCCCGCAGCTCTGGGGATGAGTTCGGGATTCGTATAATTAACGGTGCGACGCTGTTAGAAACGTCCTCACATTGAAGGACGTCTGGCTTGATGGCACGGGACGACTCTGACGCGCCCATGACGCATTCCTTGGGTGGAGCGGCCGTGAAGACGCGTGTGCCCAGCCATGATATTTTCAATGGTCCACAGGTTTAAATGTCATCATGGCGGGATACGGTATTCTTTTGGCTTGTATTTCAGGTCAAATAGGAGAAATTTCCGGCGCGACAGTTAGGCACCGTTTTAATGAGGTCCACGAGGTCGTTGTCGCTATAGAAAATTCTAGGGTGCGAAGGCAGCGGAGGGTGTTTTTGAATATGAGTGTTGAAAAGGTCAAATTGGAACTTCGGAACTGCAAAAAAATTCCGAAATGTAATTTTTTCAAGCAAAAAAAGATCATCAAAAAAAAACTCACATTCATAAAACCATCGAAAATATTATGGACTTTATCAAGACTGGTGACAAAGTGCTTCCAGAACGTCAGCGATTTCTCCATGTGTACGGTTATCTGTAACTGTAAGACGTATCAAATTCCTTCTAATAGCTCCGGAATACGGTAACACAGAGTTATGGGTGGGAGATTAGAGGGTGTGGACTCACCTTTTTTGGTACGTCGCCAAATGGCGCGATTTCTTCCATGCCTTCAATCATACAACGACGCTGACTCGACGACACTGTGTGCTGAAAGTGGACGGATGGATTTGAATCAGCAATGGCGGATGAAAAAAATGACTTAGAGGCCTATTTAAAGCATGGGGAAAAAAGCTACTGGGCTGGGAAACTTTGAAAAATGCCACACTAATTTCAAAGCAAATATTTCATTTTTGATCAAAGCCATTCGCGAAAAGAAAGAGGAAAATTTC